GGGCTAGCAGGCCCCAGGGAGAACTCCAATGGCGTCTGTGTCAGCACGCCCACACCAGGCCACAACAATGGCCTCTGCCAATGTCCCAGTCCCTGGAGAGGTCTCACCTCTCATTGCAGTGCACTCAGAGCCTATCAGGTGAGTCTCTTTTCACCAAAACACTGTGCACCTTTCTGGTGATTTTAGGTTGCTTTCTGAAACGGGTGAGTTTGCGCATGGGCCCTTTAACAGCCGGTTTTAATTTCTTTGTGAACCAGCTTTTCTGGGGGTACTCTCCAATGTTTTAGTAGCAGGCAAAGTCAGATATTATGCCACTCGTCTCAATTGTGCTGGGTCCACAAAATGCCCACAGCGGGGTCGCTCCCCAGCTCAGGGCCCCGCGCCTCCAGGGAGGGCTGCATACCTTTGGGCTGCTCCCAGGTGGCTGTGAAGCGCTGCGTCTTGTGAATGTGGGTCTGGTGAAGGTGGCGTTTTTTCTCTCCAGAAGAGTTTTTCTGCCTCTTCCACCTCTGTTAGGATTGTCCTTTGTTGCAAGAGTTCCTCTTATCCAGTTTTCAGTTCTGTCGCGGGTAATTTTTCCACGAGTAGTTTTAAATTGGCTGCGTCCTAAATTGGCTGCGTCCTAAATTGGCTGCGTCCACAGGAGGAGGTGAGTTCAGAGTCTGCCTACGCCGCCATCTTGACTTCTCTCCTCCCTCTTGTGATCTTTAAAATGTCTTTAGAGTTTTCAGTGATCCCTTTTTTATTCCTGAATTTGAATTTTTAAAAAAACTTTTATCAGTCTCACGTAAGTGTTAAGTCTTTATGACTTTGGTTAGGGAATGATTTCTTAGATATTACTCCAAAAACAGAAATAACCATCATCAAAATTAAATGCTTTTGGGCCTCAAAGAACATCATGAAGAAAGTGAAAAGACAAATTGAGAAAATATTTGCAAAGCACATATTTGACAAGGAACTCGTATTAGAATGTAAAAGAAGTCTTACAACTCAACAATGAAAGGTAAAAAGCCCAATTAAAAGATGGATAAAGGATCTGAATAGACGTTTCTTCAGAGAAGATATACACGGGGCCAAAAAGGTGCTCGATATCATTAGCCATCAGTGAAATGAAAATCTGAACTACAATGAGATGCCACTTCACACACAGTAGGATGCCTACAGTAAAAAGATGGATGAGAAATGTTAGTGAGGATGTGGGAAAATTGGAACCTTTCACAATTTGGTGAGGATGTAAAATGGTGCAACCATTTTGGAAAACAGTCTGGCAGTTTCTCAGATGATTACACATGGAGTTGCTGTATGACCCAGTAATATATATATTGGGAATATATACCCATTAATTTCATTCATAGGTATATATACTCAAGAAATGAAAACATATGTGCACAAACTCATACATGAATTTTCATAGCAGTTATACATAATAGTGGAGAAGTGGAAATAGCTCAAATGTCCATCAACTGATAAATGGATGAATAAAAGTGGTATATCCATACAATGGAATATTATTCAGCCATAAAAAAGAATGAAGTACTGATACATGCTACATCATGGATGAACCTTGAAAATATTATGATAAGTGAAAGAAGCTAGTTACAAAGGACCACATATTGTATAATTCCATTTTTATGAACTGTTCATAACAGGGAAATGTATAGAGCTAGAAAGTAGAAAATTAGTGGTTGCCTGGAGCTGGGGGAGTTGAGAGGAGTGAGGGGTGGTTAAGCAAAGGTGCAAAGTTTCTTTTGGGGTCAAGATGAAAATGTCCTAAAACTGATAGTGGAGATGGATGCACAACTATGTGAATATACTAAAAGCCATTGAACTGTACACATTCAATGGGTGAATTGTATGGTATCTGAATTGTATCTCAATATAGTTACTAGAAAGATATGATGCCTGTGTCTTGGTCATTCTTTCTTTCTTGGATTACTCACTCTGGAGGATGCCAACATCTATGTCTTGAACAACCTTTTGGAGAGGCGCATGTGGCAAGGAACTGAGGCCTCCTGCCAGCAGCGATGTGAATGACCTTGAAAGTGGATAACCCTGCCCCTGTCAACCTTTCAGTGGCTGTAGCCCCTGCCAGTAGCTTGACTGCAGCCTCATGAGAGCTCCTGGGTCACAACCACCCAGTGAAGCCCTCCCAGATTCCTGACCTTCAGAAACTGTGTGAAATAATAAATGTTTGGTATTTTGATGCGCTATGTTCTATGATGATTTATTACATGGTAATAGATAATACAAGCCCATCTATGTCTTTACAACAGGAATTCTCTTTATGACAACCCTCCTCAAGAAGGGACTAATAGATAATAATAATTAATTAATACTTATTGAACTCTTAACTGTGGGCCAAGTGCTATGCTAAATCTTGGCCTGCATTACCTCATTTAATCCTCCAGTTGCTCTTTGATGTAGGTGTTGTTATGAGGAAGCTGATGCTCAGAGAGATCACTTAGCCAGTAAGTGACCAAAGCAGGCAGTCCCAGGCCTCCTTGACTCCAAATCCCTGGCCCTCTGCAGGCAAGAACATAGGTATACTCCTCCCTACCCGCTCCTCAACTGTTCTCTCTCCCTTGCAACCCTTTACCAGATGTAAAACTCAGGTATTGACATCATGGAGAGCAGACTGGGGGATGGGAACGACACTGTTCATTAGGGGCTGGAAGAGAGCACTTCCAGCCCCTTTTAAAAGGTGCCACCCTTTGATCACCTTCTCAAAACGTCTAGCGTCTTGCTTTCTCACTGCTTCCTTAGCCATCTTTTACTTATAGCCCTAACAACTGTTCATGTCAATATATGACCTCAAAAACTGAAAAAATACCACTCTTGAAATGTACTCCCCACACCTATTCACTCTGCTACCCTTACCCCTACCTCCATCCCCCACCCCATTAACCAGAGTAGTTCAGCTTCTTATGGCTCTTGGTGTACTCTTCTGTATGAGATCTTATTTGAAAGAAGGTTGCTATTGGCTAAAAACATCTTGCAAATTTCTACCCTAGAGCAAGTCAGATATTGATTTCTTAGTCAACATGCTACTTAGTTAAAACGTAAGGGAGAAATAAATAAAATTATTGAAAAAAAAAGGGCCGGCCTGGTGGCTTAGTGGTTAAGTGTGCACGCTCTGATGCTGGCGGCCCGGGGTTCGGATCCCGGGCGCGCACCGACGTACCGCTTCTCTGGCCATGCTGAGGCCGCGTCCCACATACAGCAACTAGAAGGATGTGTGACTATGACATACAACTATCTACTGGGGCTTTGGGGGAAAAAATAAATAAATAAATAAAATTATTAAAACGTAAGGGAGGTACGTTGTATCACAGAAGATATCTGAGGGTAAACAAATCCATTCCTTCCATAAACTTTCACTGATTAAATGCCTGTTCTCTACAAAAGAACATACTAGTGCCTTCGGGAGCTGAAACTGGGACGAGGGATTGAGGTCATGCTTTACATGCTAGGATGAGAGAGAATTTAAGCCACAAAAAGGAGCAGACCAAATGCTCTTCAAGGAGCTAGTCATTCCTGCAAGGGCATTGGGAGAGTCTGGGATCCAAAGATGGCATCCGGGCTGGGCCTGGAGAAATGAGTGAAGTTCCAGAAGGAAGAGAAGAGCATTCGAGGCAGAAGGGGCAGCCAGAAACATTCTCAGAGAATAGGGAGCAGTGTGGCGAGACCAGCAAATTAGGGGTCTGGAAGGATATGGTGGGAGGTAAATATGAAAATATAAATATTACAGATTGAACTCCCTAATTTGTATATTCAAAAGCCATCTTTCGAAAATTTGTTTTAAAACTTTTTAAAGTATTAAATTTTTAGTTTATGCTCTATTTATAAATATGTGATATGGATCAACATTTTATTTCTCTTTCTCTCAGGTCATGGAACATCCTTTAATATCGACTGCAATGTCTGTTCTTGCTTTGCTGGCAATTTGGTGTGTTCTACCCGCCTGTGCATCAGTGAGCACAGTTCAGAAGATGACCATCGCACCTTCACAGGTAACTGGTCACCCAGAAGCTGTCCTCAATGGGCCATCATCCCTTTGTATTTATTTTGCCCTTCAAGGCGGCTTCTCCAGTCTTGCCTTAACTGCAAATGTACAGGGTAAAATATACACGTAATCGGAGAGCGTGATATTTCCCCTCTCTGGATCTGTTTCCTCCTCTATGAATTGAAGGCATTCAACTAAATGGTTTCTTAGGGCCCTTCCAGCACTAATATACTGGAATTCTTTTTTTTTTTTTTGTGAGGAAGATCAGCCCTGCGCTAACGTCCATGCCAGTCCTCCTCATTTTGCTGAGGAAGACTGGCCCTGGGCTAACATCTGTGCCATCTTCCTCCACTTTATATGGGACGCCACCACAGCATGGCCTGACAAGCAGTGCATCGGTGCACACCGGGGATCCGAACCCAGGCCACCAGCAGCGGAGCGCATGCGCTTATCCACTACGCCACGGGGCTGGCCCCAATGTTCTGGAATTCTATGAGCCAAAAAGAACAGGTCCAGTGATTGGGATGGTTTTAGTTAAATGGAACTTTTCTACCTGCTAAAATACTCTATTTACCCTAGCTACTAAATGTGGTCTAAAATGTCCGTGTATTTTCTAAGTTTGTATCTGTTCTAGTGTTTTTCTCACTACCTTCCTTGACCTACCTTAGCTTACTGGTTCATTAGGTACCCATAATCAATCAAGTATGCTACTTTCTCGACTTTCCTATGCTTTATGCTGCTGGTATTATGCTGGTACCAGCTACAGTAAGTGAAAAGCTGGTGAGATGGGATGCTCTTCCCTTGAGAGGAAGCTACAGTTGCCAACAGCAACAGCACAGTCTACTGGCATCAATTGGTATCTACTTTTTCCCAGAAATACCTTTGGTTCTGGGTCAAGAGGAGCCAGGTAGCTGCCCTTGCCCCTTCATGCTGCTGCAGCAGCAACCTGATTCCTTTTTCCCTGGAGTTAGTATTACACATGGAGTGGGGTGGGAGGAGAACAGAAGAGGGATTTACCAACCTTGTATCTCCAGCCCACTGGAAATAAAAAGGAGATCAGAAATAAGTGAGTGGCAGACTTATGGGGAAGTAGAGGCAGGACTAACTCCATCCCATCCCCATCACCCTCATGAGCACCGGCCTCTGCTGCTTTGTTGTTGTCATTGTCCTTGTCTTTGATCTGCTCTGCTCTGATATGGACAATTCATTCTGCTTAGAGAAACCATAGAATGATGTGGGGCTGAGGAGTGAGCTAAAGATGTATATGGAAGACTTTATTTATTTCTTTATTTACTTATATCTAAATGTGTGGGAAGGTGAACTTTACAACTAGCAGGACCCTTTTTCCCTGTAGTGTATAGCCCCTCATGTCTTGGGATAAATTAAGTTAATGACTGTTTAGCTAGCAGACTCTAAGGAGATTTTACTGGCCACAAAGTCTTCCACATTTCTTGGAACTCAGATAGTGCCCCCATCCAAACATGACTCAGAGAGACATGTTTATAAAAATTCTTAAGTCTCAAAATTACAATAATTTTCTAAGTTACCTTCTTGTTCTTCCCCCTCCCTAAGGAGATGGAAGGAACTAAAGGGGAGAAAGAGTATCTTCTACCACTCTGGGTCCTTTCTGGCTGGGCTACAAATTAAATTGACATGAGACTGAATAGGAGGAGAAAATCAAACAAAGCTTTATAACATGTATACATGAGAGAGACCAGGGAAACTGAATTTCTAGACAAATGATGGAGGTTTTCACCTTAAATAGCATATTCAGGTAGACAAAGGAGGATGTTGGGGGTGGGGGGCAGTCACTATGGGAGATTACCAGAAATCACAGTAAACAAGAGTA